CATTCTAAGTTTGTTCCATTTTTTAGGGACTACAGCTACATTGACCCTATTTTGAGAATTTTAGTTACCTCGTCCTTTATGAATGCGTGTTTTACCTCGGATTGGGGTCTTCTCTTTTGCTTTACCGGTTTGAACCTAAGGTTCAGGCTTAGCCGATGCGTCGTTATCTCCGGTGGGATCCATGTCATGTCTAAATGGGACCAAGAGAAACAATTTATGTTATCAATAAGAAATTGAATAAGCTTTTTTCTGAGTTCGGGGGTTAATCTCATTCCTAGGTATACCTTTCGCTCGGGTAGGTACTCGATCAATATAACCTGTTCCAGCTCTTAGACCGTTGATTCAGTGGCTTTAGAGTCTCCGGGAACAATAAAAGTTCGAGGGATTAGAAAATCCTTCTCTTCTTTTTCTATCTCCTACTTCCCTGATTCGGTCGAGGCTGGTGGCTGTGATTGCTATTTGACTTCCTGTTTATTTTTGATGCTCGACCTGTCTGAGGTTAATAGTGTCGATATCGGCGTTAACTCATCGACCGTAAACATTTCCTTTGCAGCATGCTGCTCCCCGTATACTGTTTTTACACCAGCCGTCGTCAGGCATTTCATCATTTGGTGGAGAGTCGAAGGGACTGTCCTTATATTGTGGATCCAAGGTCCTCCGAGTAGGGCATTGCACCTCATGTCGCCCTCGATTATGTGAAACTTGGTATCTTGAATGGTTCCAACCACGTTAACCGGTAGAATAATCTCCCCTTTAGTTGTTTCACTGGCCATATTGAAGGTGTTTAAGACCCGAGCAGCGGGCACGGTTTGATTTTACAGGCCAAGATGCTCCAAGACCCTCGATCGGATGATATTCGCTGAGCTATCTGGATCTACTAAAACACATTTAACTTGAACTTTATTTAATAAGATAGAAATTACCAGAGCGTCGTTGTGGGGCTGAGAGAGGCCTTCTGCTTCTTCGTCATTTAATGATAAAGTGCCTTCGGGCATATAATCTTGGGTTCGTTTTTCCCTAGTATTGATACCATAGTGCGTTTGAATATGGGTCCCTATGGAATGTCGACCCCACCGACGATCATACGAATGACATGTTGGGGTTCCTCCTGTTCATTTATCTTGTTGGCGTCCCTTTCTCTAAAATGATTCTTGGCTCGATCGCTGAGGAACTCTCAAAGGTGGCCCTCATTGAATAGACGGGCTACCTCATCCCTTAATTGTCCGCAATCCTCGGTCTTGTGACCATGCATGCCATGATACTTGCACATCAAGTTTGAGTTTCTTTGTGAAAGATCAGTTTGTATGGGTCTAGGCCACCTAGTATCTTTGATCCTTTCGATTGCCGATATAATACCTGATGCTCGATGCTAAAGTTATATTCCGATAACCAGGGTGCCTCTGTGGGATCGACATACTTGTCAAAACCACTTTTGCTCATAAGTCCCCGAGAATTCTGTCCTTGATCACTTCTTCGATCGCTCCAGGCGGAATTACGTTTTGAACCATTGTTCCTTCGATCTGCGGTATATGGTTGATATCGGTCTCTGTTCGATCTTGGCTCCCTGTCGACATCCCTCTGGTTTTTAACTGCCGACCTGTTTGGATGTACTGAACTGGAAGGGGCTCTTAATTGGTCGTCCTCGACCCTGATCTTCGATTGATATCGATTGTGCACATCTGCCCAAGTTACTGCTGGATACTCGATCAAATTTTGTTTTAACTGACGTGATGCTATCGAACTCCGCTCATTCAACCCTTGGGTGAAAGCTTGAACGGCCCAATCATCTGTGACCGGTGGCAACTCCATGCGTTCCATTTGAAATCAGGACACGAACTCCCTCATCATTTAATTATCCCTTTGTCTTACCTTGAAGAGGTCCGATTTCCTTGTTGCGACCTTTATGGCCCCGGCATGTGCCTTTACGAAAGAATCTGCTAATATGGCAAATGAGTCGATGGAATTTGGTGGTAGGTTGTGATACCAAATCATTGCTCCCTCGAAAGGGTCTCTCCGAATTTTTTCAACAGCACTGATTTGATTTCATTATCTTCTAAATCGTTACCCTTGATAGCGCATGTATATGAAGTAACATGCTCGTTGGGATCAGTGGTCCCATTATATTTGGGTATTTCTAGCATACGAAACTTCTTTAGAATAAGCTTCGGAGTCGCACTTGGAGGAAATGACTTTTGTACAAACTTCTTCGAATCCATTCCTTTCAAGATTAGCGGTGCCCCTGGTATCCGATCAACTTGAGAGTTGTATGTTTCCACTTTTTTATCTTTAGCTTTGATTCTCTTCTCCCCTGATTCAATTCTTTTGGCGAGCTCCTCGAGCATTTTCATTACCGTAGGATTAGTCCCCGATTCGTTACCATTCGACCTTTCCTGTTCTGGCTCGGTACAACGAGTAGTTTCCGGCTCAACCCTATTCGGAGCTCTATGTTGATTTTGTAACTGAACAGTAGCAGCTTGATGAGCCTGAAGCATATGGAATATCACTTGGAGATTGACTCATTCGTCTCCTCTACCCTGTGTTCCTTGGCCACTAGATCGGCTTTCTCTGCGTACACTCTCATCGAGATTTGCGCATAGGTCTGCGTTTAGAGCAACGTGTGAACTGACGTCGACTGGGTTGGCAACCGGTGCTCCCCCGAGATTAGCCTGTGGAACCTCGACTCCTGGAGCAATCACATTTTTGTTTTCACCGTGGAATCCGAAGCCATTGTCTCCGTGAGTGGATGCGTTTTGTGAGTTGACATGTTTTAACCTGAAAGCAAAGATACTTGACAAGAACAAGCGTAAAATAGTGTGTGTTTTACCAGAATCAGTACTGAACAATCACTATTATCCTTAGCTCCACGGTGGGCGCTAAACTGTTTACCCTAAAAATTGAGTAACAATTAAACTTATATTGTGGTTTTAAGGATATGTGATTTAAACCAGCACCAATTGATAAACAACGAATTAAATAGATAACTTGGACAATAAAATAAATCAAACCGGTCCGTAAACAATGCCTCGATCTTGATTCGAGATAGTCTTGAGGTTAGTTAATAAGAACAATGGAGGATGGAACAAACGGCAATGAACAATAAGTAAAGCAAAGAAAGCAGCGTATATGTATATTCTTCTCAGTGAATCCTGTCTACAAATGATTGGACCTCCTCTTTATATAGTAGAGGAGACCTAATTATGGCATGTCTCTTATTACAGAAGGAAACCGTATAAACAGCTAGTTATCCACTTCTGATTTGGTCCGTTCCGAGATTCACGCCGTGATCTTCGACCGATTACTGATATCTCGCCATTCCGTTATTCCTTCGAAGTCGGTCATACTTGATCTCGATTGTTGTTGGTCTCGGTCTCAACGTACACTTCGATCTCTAGGCTCGATGTCTCATCTTCGAGTCCTGATCCAATTTATTATGAGGCTACCCCGATGCAACTCCCTTGTCTCCTCCACATTCATAACTGTTACCAAATCCCCTCTGCTGAGCCTTTTCTTATCTCCTCTGCAGCAAGCTCAGGCCTCGATCAAACAGCAAAATGGCCGTATACACTTCAACAATTGCACCAAATTAAACGATGGCATTTACATTAAAGATGGAGAAAATCCTATGACACAAAGTAGGTCTACCATCACTAAATTATTTACTGTTTCATTCAGAATAACCGCAAGCTCAGTCGTTAGCTCCCGTAAAAGAAAATAAAAGGGGGGTATCATGAAAAGATATATTAACCGCAAGAAATTTCACAGGGCCTCCGCTGGAGTCTTGATTTTGTAGTTGATAAAGTAAGGTGCGAAAAATTAATAAATTCCTTAGCTTTTTCGTCTATTAGCTCTAAGTATTCTTTGCGTGATTGCATTATAATATTATTTTGGAGACAATAACTTCGTACGTATAATATATTGATTCCTAAAGATTACTTGTTGAATTATACAAATGATTTGCACTTGAAGTCAGGAGTAGTAAAAGCTGGGTGTCTCTGTCGGTGGTAATAGTGAAGAGAACCGAAAATTGTTTATCTTACACTCAAACGTCAGTTACAGAGCGAAGCATGCTAATTTCGTGAGGAGCTAAATATTTTCTTTTACTTCCATTGTGTAGGTGGTAATATGTTATTGTAGGTATGAAGTCCCGTTATATTTTGGCACTTCAGGTATTTTGAACCACTTCGGGATTAATTCTGATACCGCACTCGGCTTGTACGGCGATTGAGTATACTTTTTCGAGTCCGGACCTTTCAATACTGGTGGCGCTCCCTGGATTTGGTCCATGCGGGCGTTTACTTCCCTCATAAACCTTAAAAGTTCATTCTTGAACGGGTCGTTCTTGTTGTTGAGACCGGATCCGCTCTCCCCAGCCCCGTCGGAGCCAACTTCATCCCTGGGAGTGTTGTTGTCGCCTCTCTGCGTTGTTTGGTTTGCAGAAACTCCGGGAGGAATTGGATCTCGTCTGTTTGCATTATTCAAAGCCCCCGATAGTGCCTGCTTCAGCTCCGTCATAACCTTATCTTGCCGCGTGAGATGGCCTAAAATGACCGCCTGTTGCTCTTGCAGGACCTTCACCGCATCCGCGACATGCTCCTAATCAACATCATCAGGAGTTGTCTCCCGAACCTATCGAGGGTACTGCCTGTCATGCACCGACATGATGTCATTCCCCTCATTGCGGGTGTCACTGATTGAATTCTCGAAATGAGGCCGCCCCCCTCGAATTTCAGAGTTGTACGTGTCGTTAACAGTGTTATCTGTCATTTTTTGTGATTTTTTCTAAGACAAAATAATCAAATCACGTAGTAAAAAAGGCAAAGATCAATTTAATTGCACGACTGTCTAGACCCCACGGTGGGCGCTAAACTGTTTACCCATAAAACGGTACAGTTGAATTTATACGTGGTTTCTAGACAAGTGAACTAATTTGATCCTGAAATAATGCAATAATTGAAAAAATGTACAATACTTAGCCTTAAAATGTAGATGAAATAACAGAAATGACAGTTCCGGGAACAACGTTTCTGGGTACAGCAATGATTAGATCAAAAAGTAAAAAATTTGTGTACTCTACAATTATAACCGGACTCACTATTTATAGCTACGTCTAGGGAAGGATGTCCTAGGATCGTGCCCTCCTTTAATGTCAATTATGAGGGTCATAGATGATATAATGGTGAACATAAATACCAAATTCTCTGTAACGGGCCGTCGCTCTTAATGCTGCAGAATATTCCTTATTAAATGCTACCGGCCACAGAGCATTTAATACATCTTTATGAACGTTATTCCTTCCGGTGACAAGCGAAATGGCTGTGTTCGGTATTCGGCCATCCCCGTCTTGAATTTCACTTGTCTTTTCTTTAAATGACCACGTGTCATAGCATATTTCACCCTATACATAATTATTTTGCCAAACTAATTGGAAATTGTACTAAAAGGAAACAAGAGAATTTCATAAGAATTTTCTGTACTATTGAACAATTAATGAATGATTTAAAATTTCAATAGTTAAACGACGAAATTTACATTAAAGATGGACAAAATCGTATGACACAAAGTAGGTCTACCATCACTAAATTATTTATTCTGTCCCATTTAGAATCATCTAGGAGCAGGACAACTGCAAGCTCGGGTCGTTTAGCTTCCGTAAAAGAAAAGAGAAGGGGGATATCATGAAAAGATAAATTAACCGCAAGAAAATTACTGTAGTTTTTCACAGGGCCTCCGCTGGAGTCTTGATTTGGTAGTTGATAAAGTAAGATCCGGAAGATTAATTAAATCCCTTAACTTTTTCGTCTATCAGCTCTAAGTATTCTCTGCGTGATTACTGATGGATTTACTATGCATTTGGCTTTCCTATTTATATCAATAATATATTATTTTTGGAACATTAAAAATTATTTGTTGAATTATACAAATAATTTGCCCTTGAAGTCAGGAGATGTAAAAGCTGGGTGTCTCTGTCGGTGGTAATAGTGAAGAGAACCTAAAATTGTTTATCTTACAATCAAACGTCAGTTACAGAAAGCGAAGCACCACTCTGCTAAAGAAATATACTACTAAAGAATACTATACTACCACTCTCACTTCTTCTCCATCTGCCTGCTCTGTTCTCTACTTTACAGCCATTTCTTGTTTCTAGCAATTCTCCCAATTGCTAGATTCAGTCTCCATTTCTCATCAAATGCTTCCTCCTTACTCAGCCGACGAGTCCCTAGAAGCCGATGAAACCCTGCGCAAACCTCCCAAAGCCAATAGCAACGACTTTCTCAAGAATGCACTGAGCAATTTCCAGTACCAGATTTCTACTCACCCACGTTTCTGGCTTTTCACCTTTTTCCTCTTCTTCCAACTCGTAGTTCTCATTTTCACCCGCAATTCCCCCTTCCCCTTTTCAACCCACTCCCCACCCCAATCCCTCCCCCACTTCCCTTCAGAAACCGCATTATTTGCCGACATACAGAAACCCCATCATGATCCAAATGCTATTTATCCCTTCGGAGACTCCGAATGCGAGTACGGTCGTGTTTATGTCTATAATCTACCTTCCAAATTTAACAAAGACTTAGCTTTAACTACCTGCGACGATCTAGACCCATGGAAGTGGCAGTGTGGACTTGTCACCAATGACGGATACGGAAAGAGATCAACGGACCTCGCCGGAATCTTGCCGGGTAATCTCTCTGCAGCGTGGTACCGGACAAATCAGTTCTCCTCGGAGGTAATATTTCATTACCGGCTTTTAAACTACAGATGTAGAACAAACGACCCGGATTCTGCTACTGCTTTCTACATTCCGTTCTACGCCGGACAAGCAGTGGGGAAATACCTATGGACCGATGAAATCGAAAATCGTGATTTGCTTAGCAATAAAGTACTGAAATGGGTCCAGAGGCAAAAATACTGGAAAAGATATAACGGGTCGGACCATTTCCTGACTCTGGGTCGGATAACGTGGGATTTCCGGCGATTAGGTGACCCGGAGAAACTGTGGGGGTCGACTTTTCTCAATCGGCCACAGATGCAGAACGTTTCGCGTTTCACCATCGAGAGGGCTCCATGGGATGCAAATGATATCAGTGTACCGTACCCTACTGGATTCCACCCTCACTCCGAGAAAGAACTCAGGGAATGGCAGAACTTTGTGCTTTCATATAACCGCACGAGTCTTTTCACGTTCATTGGCGCAGCGCGTGGGGATATCAACAGCGATTTCAGATCGAGGTTAATGAGTTACTGTAGAAACGAGTCGGACTCGTGCCGAGTCGTTGACTGTGCCGTGACTCAGTGCTCTAACGGTTCGTCAGAAATCCAAGAAGCACTTTTGAGCTCCGATTTTTGCTTACAGCCGAAAGGGGACAGCTTGACTCGGCGGTCGGTTTTCGATTGCATGGTGACCGGTTCAGTGCCGGTTTTTTTCTGGCGACGAACGGCTTACACACAGTACCAGTGGTTTTTACCAGAGGAACCGGGGAGTTATTCGGTTTTTATAGATCCTGAAGCAGTGAGAAATGGGACGGCTTCCATTAAGGAAATATTGAAAAGTTACAGTAAAGATCAAGTAAGGAAAATGAGGGAGAAAGTAGTAGAAACAATTCCAAGAATAGTGTACGCAAGGCCAAGTGGAGGTCTTGGGACTATCAAGGATGCATTTGAAATTGCAGTTGAAGGAGTATTGAAGAGGGTTAAGGATGAAAATGAATGGAAGGAATACGTGGATATGGGCAGTTGAAGATGATGAGTTTATAATTTGGGAGATTTGATGAATGTAATGTATATAATTCTTTCCCTTAATATTGAGCTATAAGTATAATCATATAAATACAGGGACAAGTTTGAAGCAGGACGGGTAATTCTGTGTGGCTGCTGCTGATATGATTCTCAGTTTTTAGAATCAGCTTAGGTTACTGGATTATGGCGAGCTCGGATTTTATACATGTTAACGTACCAAATATTTTTAGAGGTTTGATTTAAGATCAGACGAAAAAGTGAGGTCAAGTGTTATCTGCGGGTAAGAGTTATATATTGATCAGATTTTGGCAATTTCTTTTCTGTTTATGTCTTTCATTTCCATGTACTAAAATAAGGGTTCATTTTGAAACATGTCTTCTTGTTTCTCACATTTATAGTAGTACTAACTTTTCTACCTAGTGCAGACAATTACATTATACCTTATCGTCTGTAGCTAACAGTGTTTAGCTTCTCATCGAGAAAAGAAATCCTTAACTTTAAAAAATACTGCATTTTAATCTTTCGCATTCGCACTCAATATAATGTTGTATCTATGTATACGGAAAATACGACAGGTTAAAGCTTCATCTTGAGTTATATCAAACCAAGGTTCGAAGATACATCGTTGAGCTCGTGACCCCGGGACTGAACGAAATCGAGACCGAACAAGATCGAGGGAAATTTGCCTAGCCAAATAACAGAAGGACGAAATATCGAGGTTCGAAGATCGACAAGACCATCAGATTTGCCCTCGATTTTACCGAAGACACAACCAATCCTGCTTCTGACAGCCTCGAAGAAAAGTTTCGCCAACTCATCTGATAAGGATCCGCGATTCTCGCCATTAACATCATTATGGCAGAAATCATAGAATTAAATAAAAAAAGGGGGCCAACGATCTACATAATTTATTATAAAATGTCTTAAAAGTTTCATTTCCCTAAATATATAGAGGAAACTGAGTAATTCATGGACACATTGCAACTTACTTCAAAGAACAACATACTATTTTTCCAGCTTTGTTCATATTATTCTGGCTTGAATAAGATTACGTCTAAATTCGAAGGAAGTTAATCCTACGAGGCTTAAGTTGTTCAATATGCATAGTTTGTATTTATTTTTCTATTTATTCTTCCATATTAAATCTGATTTCGAGCTTTGTATCAAATTATATTACATATAAATTCAATTGTTATCCAATTTTGAAAGTAAACCTTAGCCTAGAATGTGATTTTAGCTAATAGAACAATTTTAGAAGGCAAAATGGCGGACTTTGAAAGTTTATCATACTTTTACCGACACAAAGGGAGAAAAATTAGAGGAAAAACTCTCGCTTAAACTTGAAGGGTGACAAGAAAATTATTGCTTAAACTCCATTAATAATTTCATATGGGAAAAGAATTGAGGTCGTTTGCTGGTACTACGTGAAAGAAAGGCTCGAGGTAATTAAGTAAAATGACATAATTCAACGTGCATAAGCTAAATGGAATTTACGGGCTCATCGGGGCCAACCTAGATGTCAGGACCCAAATTAAAAGAAAATAAAAAAGGTATAATCTCTAGCGGAAGGGAAATTAATTCGTTTGATATGTAAATCGAACTTAGGGGTATACATAGGTCGGGTGTTTGTTTGTATTTTTTTTATTATCAAATCAAACCAACAAAGTCGGGTTTTCAATCTCGGTTTTTCTCGGGTTTTCGAGTTTTTTTTTTCCAGTAAAGTCTTCATAACATAAAATATGTAACTTGTGCTCTAAATATTTCTTAAGTCTTAGTAAAATACAACTATATAATGTATGTTCCAAGAAACTAACACAATAATATGAGATAAGTCATAGCATTATACTAAAATATTCAATAACAAAAATAATAAAATTACATAAAGTAAATTTTGCTAATTAATAAGTCATAATAAAAATTAACATAATTTAAAAATACTATATATGTCATGCTAAAATAAGTATAGCTAATAAGTACTAATATTAATTACATAATTAAGCACTAAAGAAAAAGATAAACTAAGTTATGCACTTTCATTATAAACCAATGTAAAACTAAAATAATTATCCAACACTATCGTCATTCCTAGTAATGAATTGAATTTCTTTTGTTAGCATTAGTATTGATTTGAACTTTGTTTGAGTTACTATATTTATGGGTTATAAAATTTATTTACCATTCAAGAATGTTAAGTCTAAACTTGAAATAATACGTTAAAAGATAAAACTGTGAAAAAGTTTAAGAAATATTTATAAATTACATTACAATAAATATTTATATGTATAAAATATTTTTAAAAATTATATGAATGTACTATCGGGTTGGTTTGGTTTCGGTTTGACTTTTTTAGTTAAAACCAAAACAAACCAATTATGGTCGGATTTTATTTTTCAATGTCAAACCAAACCAAATCAAACCACATCGGATTTTTTTTCCGATTTGACTAAGATTATCAATTTGGTGCGATTTATCGATTTTTTTTTTGTAAACCCCAAATCGAACTTTTCCTAAAACTCAGCAACTTCCATAGAAATTTAACGACTTCATTTGCAAGAGATACCATCACTTCCATGCGTTAAATTGATTTGAAAATTAAGTGTAGTCACCTAGTATTAAAATTGATCCGCTGATTTCTAGGTAAGACCAAACAGATATCATAGGAATAGCATAGTTCTTGTACCAAAAATAGTAAAAAACTCGTACTCTCTGTTCTCCTGTACTAGTTCAACTAATAGTGAAGGTACAAGTGCGGCAATTTCTCATATAACTTCAGAAAGCAAAGCTGTGGTAAAACGCATAAACCAGACTAAAAAAAAAGATATTGAAAAGGGAACTGCCGAAAGATGTACACCGTCAGGAGTAGTATGCATCTTTGGTGTTATTCCAGGGTCTAGAAGGTGTAGAAATTAATCTTGGCGTACAAGCAGCCAATGAATAGAGTTTGATTCTAATAATATCAAGAGCATAGCAAACTTTGACCCGACAGTTGATAGGCTAAAATAATTCTTTGAAAGGCTTAACATGTTGGAGCAGCATGCATGGAAAATCTTAGTAGCGTTGGTTACGTGAGCTTTTACTTTATCGGTCAAAGTTCTATTTCTTACCTTGTAATAATTCCCTCCCTGTTTTTTCTTCTTCTACCCCCAATTCGAAAAAAAATATTGGAGCCGCCTGAATACATAGGCGGCCCCCTAAACTTATCCATTTTTTTTCGCTTAGACACTCATAAAGGTCCATGTTTTTTTATGATTTTTGGCTCCAACAACCTCACGTTCCTTATCATGTCCAGCTTTTATTTTAATATTTAAAGGAGGACGAGAAGAACGTTTATTTAAGATGGACTGGTGGAGAACTTGGGGCACAAACAAAAGAACGATGTAGCACATAGGACCATTGAATTGAAAAGTCTTTGTTGACTCAGCAACCCATCATATATAAACCAACCAAGTGCAACAAGGTTCAGATATGTCCTAAAAAACAGAAAATGGAAGCAACTTTGTTGTATACTTCTCTCTCTATCTTCTTTCTACTTGTAGCTCTTGTTTCCTCAAGACGAAGACAACTTATTAATCTCCCACCAACCCCAGCACTTAAACTTCCTATTATAGGCCATCTCTATCTCTTAAAACCACCTCTGTATCGCACTCTTGCAAAGCTCACAACTAAATATGGTCCCATTTTCTCTCTTCAATTTGGTACCCGTCTTGTTTTGGTAGTGTCCTCCTCATCTGCTGCTGAAGAATGCTTCACCAAGAACGATATTGTTTTGGCCAATCGCCCTCGTTTAATGATCGGCAAATACATAGGCTATAATTATACTACACTCTCTGGTTCCCCTTATGGTGATCACTGGCGCAACCTTCGCCGCCTCTGCGCACTTGAAATTTTCTCCACTAACCGTCTCAACAATTTTCAGCCAATTAGACAACATGAAGTCAAGCTTCTTGTTCATAGAGTATTTCAAAACTCGGGTGGGAGTTTTGGGACCCCTGTTGAACTTAAGTCCAAGTTATTTCAGATGTCGTACAATATTATCATGAGAATGGTAGCTGGAAAGAGATATTATGGTGAAGAGGTAGATAACGAGGAGGCAAACCATTTTCGGGAGCTTGTAGAAGAGGTTATTTCATATGGGGGTGCATCAAATCCCACGGATTTCATGCCTGCAATATTTCGTTGCTTTTTCAGGAGTATGGAGAAGAATTTGGCCAGGCTTGGTAGCAAAATGGACGCGCTCTTGCAAGGCTTGATTGATGAACACCGTCGTGATAAAAGCAGAAATTCCATGATTGATCATTTGCTTTCTCTGCAAGAATCAGAACCAGAATATTACTCTGATCAAATCATCAAAGGAATAATATTGGTAAGCTCTCTTCACTACTGCATCTCCCACTCTATGTTTAAATTGAAAATCTTTGTTTAACTTAGCCGCAGGCTAATCATCCCAATTCTTGATTTAGTGAACGTTGCTCTGGATTTCCTGTTCTAGATGTACAAGATATTAGAATGTCCCCATTGGTTGAAGGATAGGATTGTTGTCTCTTTATATGGTTTGGTCAATCCTTAGCTCGTGGGTTGAAGGACTGGATTGTTGTCTCTTTATATGGTTTTATCTAATCATCATCTCATGAGCTAGCTTGTATGGTTGAGTTAGGTACCATGTCCATCTTCTTGACATGATGCATATAAAAGGCTGCATCCGTTGCTTGAATTTTTTATATTTATACTAAGCTCGAAGCAATCGTCACCAAAACATAGTATAACTGCCTTTGTATCCACTGATTTAAAGTTATAGATTGTTGCTGCATATAGAACCCTGGGAATATCAAAATATCAACTTACAAAAGCAGTTGCCGGACACTTTTCTCATTAACTAACAACTGCAGGTCATGCTGAATGCGGGGACTGAAACATCATCTGTAACAATAGAATGGGCAATGTCTCTTTTACTCAATCATCCAGAGGTGTTGGAAAAGGCCAAAGCTGAAATAGACGACCATGTGGGTAAAGATCGTTTAGTGGATGAAGCAGATTTACCCAAGCTGAAATACCTTCAAAGTATTATTTCAGAGACACTTCGATTGTACCCTGCAGGACCAATGCTAGTGCCTCATGAATCATCTGATGATTGCACTATCGCTGGGTTGCACATTCCACGTGGCACGATGCTATTGGTGAATGCTTGGGCCATCCACAGGGACCCATTACTTTGGGAGGATCCAGAGAGCTTCAAGCCAGAAAGGTTTGAAGGTGTGCAAGTGGAATCATGGAAGCTATTGCCATTTGGAATGGGAAGGAGAGCGTGTCCAGGTTCTGGACTTGCTCAACGTGTGGTTGGTTTAGCTTTAGCATCTCTAGTGCAGTGTTTTGAGTGGAAAAGGGTAAGTGAAGAGGTGGTTGATTTGACTGAAGGAAAAGGTCTCACCATGCCAAAAGCTGAGCCACTCATGGCTAGGTGCGAAGCTCGTGATATTCTTCACAAAGTTGTTTCAGAAATATCCTAACGTTTCAGAGTGTTTCTTGCATTTTTTTAGTGCTCCATACCTCTAGTTTTTAGGTTAGAAAGGTTTGAGTAATAAAGCACCATGTGTCTTCATTCTCTCATATAATATGTGCTATGTAAGTTTCTGATTTGTTACTTAGATACTTTGGATTAAATATATGAGGTGCTACTTCTTTTTAATGGTGTAAGTAGAGGCTGATGGATTCAACAGAACTCATTATTTCGACTGCACATGTGAAAAATCACTATATGTCAACAAATATTAATTCCGAACTCATAATTTTAAATGTTTAGTGGATCAGTAGTAAGAACCTTAAAGGTTGAATCCATCAAATATATATCCTGGATCCGCCTCTGAGTGTAAAAAATAGAAACAAGGTTTATTAGCCTTTGGAGTCAGTTACAACTCCCAATTGCAACAAGTACTCGGAAATGTTTGTTCTTCGGTGGAAAGGAAAATAACTTCATTTCTTACAAGGAAGGCAGGAACTGACCAAATATGTAAATCTTGCTGGTATCCTCACCGTTGAACCTCCTTCCACGCTTCACGGAGAAGCTGGTATCTGACAATATTTCTAGCAGGTTTTGCTAAATTTGGATAATCCTTGAAGCTATCAGCGAGGAACGAAGTAAACGGTGAGTCCAGCTCATCAAGCTCAACATCGCTGGTGTACGTTTTCTTGAGTACAGATGACCCCCTAATCTTTGGAGCTTGATTGCCAACCTTCTCTATAAAAATAGTGAGAGACAATGCCGGAGGAGGTGTATAGACAGGCAATGTGAAAGTGCACGGGAAGCTAGTCAGCAATTCTCCAGGAGCATCTTTTACATCCTTAATCAGGAAAAATATGGTGTAAGAAAGGGTATGTGACTTCACGTTAATAAGCTCCGTAAATAGGACAAAAATTGCTCTGAGCATTATGGATGACGAAATATTGGCTTGCATAAATCTGCTTGAGATAAACAAAATGAGAGGGAAAACTTACTTCGGAATCCAGGGCCTCAAGGACATTCATTGGAATTGGATCAGGACGGAAATCATCTGGAACAAAATTGGCGAGAACTCTTTTGATCAAAGCTGGACCAAGTATTGGGCAGACCTAGTAACAGCAAGTTCAAAAATTATGTATGGAGAAAATGGATTTGCTAGAGATTGATCTGTTGATAAATTTAAAGGGAAATTTGGACTAACTTCTTTTCTTGTGGATGCATCTATGAGCATTTCAAATGGAAGCATCATGAGGTTGCTCAATGCATTAAGGAAACGAAAAGCCTTGAACGATTCTGGTTTCTTGTCATTCCCAAATATGTTATTATACTCTGGTGAAACTTCATCTTGAAAGCCAATAAGATCTGTAAGCCATCCAGACCAGCTCCCAACCTATCAACAAACCAAAACGGTCATAATCGATAAGTAAATACTCCCTTGAACCAAAATACAGTTGAGAAAAATTTAAACTTGTCATATTTTCATGTATTTTTAGGGAAAGAACTCAAGTAGTGGAAACTAAGTATAAACAACTGTATTCTCACTTTTTCATAAAATGCTGTATATTTTTCACCAAATATTGGCCCATTTCTATTAGTGTAGCTCTGGTTAATTAGTAGAAGTATATTATATAATCTTTCAGGAATGATAAACTAGCATGAAACTAGGCACACTAAAGCTAACTTTTTCTACTCACAGCATTTTTCAACTGTGCACCAGCTCCAAAGCTTGATTTTCCAGCAGGAATTGGGAGGACCTTACGATCACTTATAGGATCAAACACTGGATCTGTTGGCATTTCTTCAGTGGATTCGCGGAGAATAGCATTGAACATTGCCACATCCAATCTACTCACCAACTGCTTCATCACCTAGAAACACAATGAATACATTTCACAATAAGTCATTGTTGAAGAAAGAACAAGATGCTGGAAAATCGTTACTAACTAGAACCTCAAATCACTCAAACAAGAAGTAGAAGTGGCTGCTTGTGTGGACAACAGAAGACACCTCATTCTGATGAATCAACTCACCAACTTTGGCAGAACAGGTAAGCAGCCACATTTATGGCCACCTGCCCGAAGTGGACAAAGCCTTTCACAGGCATCTTTCAGAGCCCTTTTCCAAAGTTTTACGGAAAATTTGCCCTGTTCTTGATCGCCCAAAGAATGTCTACTCCCATATGTTTTCTTCACCCTTGAGCCCTTAGTCTTACTAGTTTTTGCAGTCGAAAACTGCATATGTGGAGTCAGAGTCTGCAGGCAAAAATAAGTGACTGCACTGTAATTAAAGTAGCACTTGTTATGGGAGAAAAGCTCAGAAAAATTTAGGTGATCAACCTGCCACCAAAGGGACTTGGTGATTTTGGAGAAGATCCAACCTTCAAGCTTTTCCAATGCTTGAGTGAATGATTCGATGTCCTCCCAGTTATAATATTGCTTAACTAAATGACTCTTGTTCCCTTGGCTAGCAATTGATTTGATGCTTTGCTGCATATATATTTTTTCCAACGCAGACCTACCTTTGTTGCCAGTAGTTTCAGTTGGTGCCCCTTCATTAAATTGCACTCCTGCAGCAGCCTGACTGATGATTGCTCTTAACATAATGGAATTCGACAACCAGAAAGTTAGCCTGTTTGTGGGGAAAAATATTAGAGAAATCCTGTAAAGTTTCCAATTTTATCCTTAAAACATATTTGTTCCAACATATCGATAAGCTTTTTTTTTGGGTCCACTATCCACTTAATTCACGATATCAATCGAAGATTGATGCTGATCTATTAATTAGAAACTGGAAAATTAGAATTATTAAGAAAATTAAGTAGCTTATAAAACAATCAATCACAAGAGTGTACCTTGGAACATCGCTTCCACATGCTTTAGAAACCAAAGCTAATCCTGAGACAGCGGCTCTAGCAGCACTTGCCTGTTTAGCAGTGGATTTTGTTCTCCAAGCGTGGAGATAAAATCTAGCAAGGCGCCTGGCTGGAGTGTGAACTTTGTTCATTGAACTTCCATGCTCAGCAACTACAGAATAAAAGCCAACTTCAATAGCTGCAGCTTCTTTTAGTTCTTCCTCAAGCATCTGAATTCTAGATTCCGATTCAGGTTTACTCTTTGACATAACATTTGCAGGATCTCTTTTTTCAGTTGCTGAGGTACTGGTAGTATTCTTTGGTTCTTTTTTCTCCACTCCTGTACTTTTAGCAATACTACTAGTTTCTATAGGTGTGTGTTCTTTTATTTCTTTCTTAATAATCTCAGTGTTCCCCAAAAATACATTTGCACTTGCAGAGTCTCTTATCTGAACAGACTTCACTGGCTTCAATCGGCCATGTGTGATCTGAGCTCCAAGAGCTTTACGAATGGAACTCATTGTACCTTGTCTTTTCATACTTTTAGCTATTTTGTTGTCTGACAAGTCTCTTGTGTCATCAAGGAACAGTTCGTCCTGTCCAAAATCATGTTCTGTTGTTTCATCCGAACTATTTTGACTGTCGACACCTGCCTGAGTATGCATATGTGAAGTCGTAATTTTTGATATCAATCTATCAATGTATTTTTCTTTAGATATCTGAGTATTTTCTTCACTTTTGCTTGTTCCGCTGGCTGCTTCTTCATGCATGTCATTCTGCAATTTAATGTCAGTAAAATCTTAAGCAGAAAATAACACTACAATGGACAGAAAATACAATTAACCAGAGATAATCTCATATTGCATCGTGAGTCTGATGTAGATGTAACAATGGTATCCCATGATTAACCTTAACCTTAATTCATTAGGTGCTCTACTGGTACATAACTAGTGACATTCCAATCTAGATCAACTAACCACATTAAAAAGCTTAATTTGATTTCTTTTTCTTTGCCCTTTCTATTGAGGAAGAAGCTGAAATTGAAGTCAAATGTCTAGTTCTTACAAGTGGCCTATGGGAATATAAGCCAAAAGTTCCAGACCGGAGAAAAGTAGAAGCACGATATGAAATTCATACGATTCTCATGTTGCAGATGATAAATTTCAAACCAGAACCGTTCAGATTATCCAAGGAATTTAAATGAGGTTGAGCTAACTGAATGCTTGTTAACCAATGGATAATGAGTTTAACATCAATACACTATAGTGTTTTACACAATCATATAAGCAAAAAGATAACTACTGATAATCGTCCATTATAAGTGGTAGTAACAACCTGAAAAATAAGGCAGCTTTGTCAGTCAAATTATTTGCTACAATAGGTTAAAATACACTGAAAGTTAAATCCTAGATAATTTAACTCAAGTACCTTTACAACTCGAGATGGCGAGGGCCATGCCACCTTAAAAGCAGAAGAATCATATTCCAGAAGGAATGCAAGGAAGAATCATCATCAGTAAAAGAAGCACAAGCCGTTAATCATAATGATGGAATTTGATTGAACGCGAAATACCTTTACATTGTTAGATGGTGAAGCCCAAGCAGCTTCAAAAAGAGAAGAGGCAAAAGTTGAGGATGAGTGCGACGAAACATCATCATCAGTATAAGAAGCAGCATCAGAATCATCTTCAGCATCATCAATCATTAAGTCTGATTCTTGTTTATCTTTTGCTGGCTGAACCTTAACATATAGAGATGGTTGCAGCAAGCTTTTAGAACTCTTCTTGCAGTTTAAAGGAACACTAATAGCTAAAGTTTCTTTGATAACTCCATATTCTGCAAAATTTATTGAAGCTGTCCCCAATAGTTGACCTTGAGCTGCATTCTCCTTTGTATATTCATACAAGGAGAACTCCAAGTTATTCTTTAGAAATTTATCTTTGGATTTTTTCTCGCGACATAAAGTTAAGAATAGAGTGAAAGTCTTGTTAATTTCAAGATAGTCATCCTCAACAGAGGAAGTCACAAATCCAGAATTGCGATCGCCATTTTCCCACTGAAGTAATACTGACTGAACAGACCTCAATGATTCTGATGGGGGCCATGGCCTAATCAATTGGATATGTACAATGTAATCAATTTGGAAAGAAGCACCCTTTTTCTTCTTCTTCCCAAGACCCATGGCTTGATAGTAACTTGCAATGCTCCTCTGAACTTAAATAAACTAAAACAATACAAAAACCAAAAACCAATTTTTTTAGTAAACCGCAAGATGCAAACAAAGGCTTAAAATTTATAGTTCAAGTTCCGTGAATGATTAAACAGGACAACTACGTAACAGAAAAGCAATAACGTGCAAGAATAAATGAAAAGTGTACAGAAAAGTGGGAATTCTCATTTATGAAAAGTGTGGAAACGGTGAAAAGAAAAGAGAAGATTTTTACTCGATCAATACTATCTTTTGCTGGCAGAGTTTGTGAAGCCTTTAATTTGATGGCACAGTGAATTTGGCTTTCTTTTTGGGAGACTGTTTGTTGGGAGAATAATGAGTAGAGAGAAATGAAAAACAAAGATGAACAAGTTATTATGCGTGCGTCCAACTACGTGAGAAAGTCGACAGAATGACTAAACAAATGTACGTGACCTAGGACTAATGTCCTCCACCGGCCAACTTTGTTGAAAAAAGATATAACTAACGCCCTGTAATTGTACTTATTAATTTTGTGGTTTGCCACTAATATTGACTAATGCCTAACCATTAGCTATAACTTAATTAATCGGTTTGGACTAGATAATCTGTTACTTGTTCTTGTGCATTCATCTGGATTAGTGATTATTAATGTAACATTAACACTTACCTTTTGAATAAGCTTTAATCCTTTTTCCTCAAGGTATAAGAGTTACTTTACGCTATTGATATAAAGTGGATGAGCCAATCCCTTGCTGATCTAGCGGTGTTGTTACCATAAGAATAAGGTAAGACTATATTTTTGTTTTCTCCTTTTCTTCGATGAAAAAGAAATATATGGGAAGGATTAGATATTTTTCTGTTTGAGAAATTTGATTGAATGACCTTCTGAGTGTGCTATAAATAGTTAAGTAACTTTAATGTTACAAACAAAGAAAGATAATTTTACTAGGTAATTTCAAATTGTTGATTGATCATTTATTCAAATGGACTCGAAGTATAAGAGCTAAGTAGCGTACTTAGAAAGTGAATGTTGCAAGGACAAAATCACTTCGACATAATCAGTTCGCATTTTTAACTTCTGAAATTTGTTCATATCAATAACACAGTAGAAGTAAAAGAGGAGCACACGAAGCTCCTCTATGGATCCTTTCAATTCTAGACATAATTTTGATTTACAAATGTATGGAAAAGTGCAGATTGCAGAACACGAGCAACTGCCACAATAAGATGAAACCTTGCTTCTGTTCCCCGCAGGTTTTGGCATCCTCACAAACAGTTTCTTGTCTCTATTAAAACCAATTATGTTCATGGAAAAACTCCCAAAATCGTTACCTCGTTTATCGACAACGCAATATAGAGGAACCTTTCAAGATTAGAGTCCTCGCATTCACCTCAACCCCAAAAGTTTTCGGGAATATACAAAGGAAATAAAAATGAAAGTGACTCTATCTTTATTACCATCAACATTCTAGTCATCTTTCATCTTCTTTCTCTTTACTGCTGTAATTATGTTTGCCCTTGAACCGAGGAGTTCTCTATCTGCACAAGGTATGGATAAGATCTGCATATACACTACTTTCCCTAAATCTCACTTGTGGAAATACACTAGGTATGTTGTTGTTATTCTAGTCTATCTTTCTTATTCACGAAATTTTCGTAGACATCTATGAAAATCTTCCCAAAACCGAATATGGGGGCTAATTTTCTTATTAAGCATTTTCTAAATTTGCAATGTATAGCTAGTCCTAAATCTGAATAAAGCTGGAACAGAGTTGTAATATCTTGTGAAGCAAATGTAGTCAAAATATAATGAATTTTCTGATACTGAATAGAGCAAAATAAATGCAAAAGTTCATTGTATCTTATGAAATAGTTAAGGTATGCGCAATCTAGTCCATTGTCTCAACTAATATGCAACTGAGACATAGTTTATAGTTGATTGATTGATAAATAAAACCCAAAGAAAAGAAGGCAAAACCAGTCGCTCAGCTTAACAAAAGGAAATTATCGATGTCCAATGTTAATCAACACGATAGTTGGCATGCATGTGGAGCTTAGTAGTTAGTAGTGCATTTCACACACACTGATGGGCAGTCCGACCGGACCATTCAGATCCTTGAGGATTAAGAGCAGAGGCCAGTGAGATCAGTTTCTACCATGAGCAGAGTTTGCTTACAACTTTTTATTAGCCAATCACGAAAACAGCCTTGGCATCGTCCCTACTAGAAATTATATACTACATTACTATTCAGATACAAACCAGTATACAGTGGCACATCAACCTAAGGACGTGGTATCCTCTCTCATTTCTCTCTCCAATCATTCAAGATTAGCAAATTCAGGAAAATAGGAGAGACCAACTTCAGCATCTGGTTGATTCTTGACTTCTGTTCTAATCACTTTCACTCCGGTTGGGTTTTGAGGACGTGAATCCAACCTGAATAATAAGCCTTAGAGCAAAGATATGAACCTGAACATAAATTATAGTGCAAACACATGGAGATTCAATTAGCAAGCTCATTAAAATGCACCTGATAATCTTCACTGCTGGGAATCCAGTCGTTTCTCGCTGGATTAGTGTTGAACTCTCTGGCTCTGCCATTCTCATGACCACCATTCAATTGAAGATTGTAAATGTTACCATCCGTTTGATTGACCATCTTTATGAACCCACTTCCAGTCTGCCAAGAATTGAACATTAGCACAATAAAAATATGAATAACACAATTCGAGTGTCACACATTATAGTGCAAACATTACAACGAATGATGGATGTATATCTCAAATTTAAACTATATATGCAGGGCAAAGCCACATTGTCCTAAGGGTGGTCACCTTCGTCGAAAAATTACACTGTATATATAGGTAAAATATTAGGTTTTAACATATATTGAATAACATTTTGTCGGAATTTTTTTTTACTTCTTTCAACTTTGAACACTCTTGGGGAAATTCCTAGCTTCGCCAACTTTGAACACTCTTGGGGAAATTACTTCTTTCAACTTTGAACACTCTCGGGAAAATTACTAGCTTCGCCACTATACATGCGTATATAAAAACTATATGAAAAAAATTATTACATGCTAAAAAGGTACACTAACTACCTTTATAAAAATACATGTGAAAATTTACTAAACTGAATCCGTAATGTTAAAAGTGCAATAGATTCAATATAAGGAACTTAAAAGTTGAACATGTCAAGATTAATTGTTGGATCGGGATCTACCTATATATGCAGCATGACAAGTAATTAAAAATTTAAAACTCAATGGTAGAAGGAAAAGAGTAGAGAACCGTGTGATGCTGTTTGTCAATGGAAACCAACTCATTGTAGTACCGTGTTTCCACAAACTCTTCTTGTTCCGAGCAATTACTATTTTCAGAAAAGATACTACCACCCTGATCAAGATTCAAAAGAACTTATCAAAAAGATTAAAATAATTTACATTCTATTAAAGGAATGTAAGAGTAACTAGCAGAAAGCGAGGAGTAGAGTACTTGAGTCTGAAGAGATCGGAGATTGTCAAGTTCTGGAATAGGGAAATCTTCTAAAAGGGTTGTCGGCGAGACTGAATCAGGTTCACTACGGTTAGGTTTGGCGAGTCTTTTAGGTGCTTGAGCATCGAACAGGGCTTTGACTTGGTTGGTGATTTGGAGCTGCTGATGTTCGTCCAAAACCTCGTCGCTCCGGCTAGGTTTGGTCACCGTTAGATGTCGTTCCATGATGTTGGGTTGGAATGGTTACTATTTTTAGAGGGTAAAAAGCTAACCGGTGGGGGGCAACACCTACTGATTGTCAATACGAATTAAGAACATTCTAGTTTACAAACAAACCATGGGCGCCTACTACACTGTTGCTCGTTGCCACGTCCCTCTGTCTCACCAAACTTTAATGCTTTACGTTTGAATATTAAAAATGAAAAAAGGTCAATTGATCTCAAATTAAATGAAATATTTTAAATAAATTAGTATTTTAAAAATATCAAAATGCGCAGTAACTATTTTACTTGTCTTCCAATTTAACTGTAGTAGTGATGGAGGGAGTGCTTTTTCTGTAGTAGTTTTATACTACTACAATTTTAACCTCTTTAGTACTAGTAATATTTTTTTTTCTGTTTTGTTTAAACTCCTATTATTTAAACTTGATTCAATAACTTAAAGTAATTACGTATTCAATTTTTACATTTCAGACTATTCTTTTAAATAATTCAATCATTATAATTTAACAAATCAAAGGTCTTAGATATCCTTATGTTTTAGTTATCGGATCATATTAAAATGAAGGTATCATTTAATAATTTCTTCAAGATCGATTGGCATATAAACAAACTATTCCTAATCAGAGTTCAGCTACTACATTACTACATTCGTTGGAGAAAAAATAATTATAACTGTTAGATGTAGATATTAGGATTTCCAAACAAAATTTCGCTACTTTTCTTTATGCAAAACTAGGTAATATGCATGCGCTTAGTGCGTTCATGAATAACGTCATTCAACCTCACTCCTTTCACTACATTGTCATACAATCTCACCAAAATATAGAGACTCCTGTCAGCTATTGGACATGTAAAAAATAATTTTAATATAAATACGTTAGAAGCATGATCGCACATGAAAAACAAAATAATAAATAAGAATTGTATTACTACCTGAGCATTTAATAAGTGAACCTGTTAGATAATTATACATCAGTTATAGTTTTTGTAAATTCTTCCGATTCATTAAAGTAAATACAAAAATATATTAATTCGACACACATTAGTTATGTATTAATTATAGTAGAGCCTTCCAGGAAAAAGTAAATAATCTGCATTTACTAATTGAAAGGTGTTCACTATTTTTGGATGCCTTAAGCCCAACTGAACCAACACAGTTAAAATGGTCATCGGGATTGAGAGCTCATTTCATCATGAATCATTAATGGTATACTTAGTTATCCTGAAGCACAAACATTTCGAAATAATTATAATGAAGTAATTATTTGTAAAATTGTATAAAGTGCATGTAAACGGTTTGGAAAAGAGAAAGAAATACCTCGCGTGTCTTAGCAACCATATGACATATATTTTGGAATACCTCTTTGTAAATAATATTTTTAATAAATGTAGGATCTTTTGTGTCCTCGTCAACATTTAGTATGGTTAATCTTCTCTTGTTGTCACTCGGGAGACAACCACATATAATTGACCATGGGTGAATACTTGTTTCGGAAGATACAATCCGACATGGCTAAGAAATTGTCCTTGAATTTTATTGATTCTCATGGCGAAACATGGCGCCAAAGGGAGCTGCCTTCTCTTAAGCTTGAACGGCCACTTTGAATCGTTATGAGACATAATGATTCCTGGAATTGTGATTCTCGAACCGATGTTCTTACTAGACATGACGTTTGCGTTGACAAACCAATTTTCAAGATGCGTAAAAATTAATCTTGTTCCATTGCATAGGCTTTCGGTTTGGTTTAAATTTTTGAGAAGCATAACTAGGGTACCTACTTTTAAGTGTATGTCATGATTAGGGATGCCGGGGAATGTTAAGCTATTTAGAAATTCGATTGTGTACAACAACTCTTCATCATTAGTGTTCACGCTCGCTTTGCATACATTGTTAGAGCTGAAATATGTTCTTCCTTCACTTGGTATCATTTTCAGAATTCTATCGCTCAACTCATGTACCATATTATTTTTTGGCGTTAGTATTGCTCTTTCTTTCATATATGCTGGGTGATTATAATTTTGTAGGAGATGGATAAACTGCCTCAACAATCGATCCGATTGGGTCGTTAGATTTTTTTTTAAACACCCCACGATGGGAGAAGATTTCATTACTAAGGCTACAACATAGGCCATTTGCCTTCAAAAAATAGTCTGGAGGATCTATTACCTTCCCGTTAGACTATACTAATTTACATTAACCCACAATAAAGTTAGCTTTATCGTATCTAATTCTAATACTCGGAAGCTGCCATAAATCTATTTGGAAAGGTCCTTTTGCCATCCTTGGAAGCCGATGCCAGTTATAGAAAAACTGAGGTTCTGTGTTATCTGTTGCATGTTTTGCCAAGCCATCAGCCACCAGTTGGCTTCCCTATAGCAATGAATTATTGTGCAATTCACTTGGTATAAGGTCTGAGAAATATCTTCAATTGCTTCCTTCAACTTAAGGTTGTTGGTTTTCCCATCCACTAACATATTAGCAATGAGTAGTGAATCCAATTCAAGAATGCAATCCCAATATCCATGTTGCATACACCATTCTAACCCAAACTTGGCTACATAAGCTCCTGTCAGATTATTGTTGTTGCATTCAACTGGAATTGAGAAAGCCATGCTCATGTTTCCACCAGTGTCTCTGACAATGTCCCCAATTCCTGCTTTATCTTGAGAGTAACTCCCATCGGTATTTATCTTAACCTTTTGCAAAGGAGGTTTAAGCCATTAGATGACTTCATTCATACATCAGGAGGAAATTTTATGAGCTCCTTGTTAATATCATCGTAAAGGATCCATTTTCAATCTGTAACAACCATTTGTCAAAAGTAAAAATTTTAGCAACCTCGTCGTAATCACTTACTTTTCTATTGCAGAGTCTCATATTTTGCTTCAATTCATATATTGTGAAAAATGGCTACAAATAAGAGGAGTTTAGTGATATATCAACAATATCAACTCAGTACTCTTTGGAATAACAAGTAATGCTGATGAAAATCACCATCACATACGATTGTAAGGCCTCCAAAAGGTTTGTCAGAGCTATTTTCAACCAGACTCTAAGGATATATCTCAACATCTTATCTAAGACTTCAAATCAGAAGTTGTTCGCCATTGGGGCTTCATCCCAAATAATTAAAGAAGTGTTGTTGAGAATTCAGCTAACTGGGTGCCTTATTTTATTTTACAAGTAGACTCTGTAGTAACGTCCAAAGATATATGGAAGCGTAAATGAGGCGTCCTACCATTTGATAATAACAAAGCTAATATTCCAGAAGTAGCAACAGGAAGAACTATTTTTGATTGTGATATGATCTTTGGAATTATTATATTCCATAGAAATGTCTTGCTAGTACCACCATGTCTATTCATAAAAAATAATCGTCCTTGTTTATTCTCAACTGATATTATTATTGCATCATAAGCTGACTTTTGGCAATTATTTAAGAGAGAAAATGATTTGTCATGCAGTATATTTAGCTCCTTTTCGTCATAGTCTAGCTCCTCATTAAGTAGGCGATTTCCCACATCTCGCAGTTGTATAAGGTGAAATTGATTAGTGACAGTTGGACATATAAGAAGGTAACACGTGGAATTGAAGACAGGCAAGATGTGAGTCAGCAAATAATTAATACCGATTACAAGCGTGTGACCGGTGCTGGATGAATTTCGATGGCAGGGTAACTGATAACAAAGGTTTGAAGAATTGATATCGAATAACATTCAATGAATAATCGTTACAGAGAATATTTACATTTATATCCAACTATTATGCAACCATCAATGACGGTTTTATTCTCATTCAAGAGGAGTTATGAGGAATATTAAAGAAGCTGGGTTCCCGAAACCTATCCGATCGGATCCTAGCCAAAGAGATCCTAATTTATGGTGTGAGTTCCATGGAACTCATGGTCACAGGACTGGGGACTGCCGACACATTCGAGAAGAGATAGCAACATTATTGGAGAATGGTCATCTCAGAGAGTTTTTAAGTGACCGGGCCAGGAACAACTATGGAAAAAACTGGGATGTTACAGAACCATCAAAACCGGCTAAAGGGTCACCTCGTATGACGATAAACATAATTTTTGGTGGAGACGAAGTAAATGGGGTGACATTTTCGGTAGCAAAGAAGACTAAGATATCGGTAACTCATGGCAAGAGGATCTGAGAATTCTCAGAAGATGATATCACCTTTACAGAAGAGGATATTGATGGACTTCTTTTACCACATAACGATGCTTTGGTAATTTATCTTAATGTTTTAGATTTCAAAATTAAGCGTGTTTTGGTTGATCCAGGAAGTTCAGTGATTGCGTCCAATTGCACATCTCTAAAAAGGTATGAAACAGTCGTTTGCAATAATAAAACCCAACTAAGAGTCGGGGTCGAATCCACAAGGAGCTAAGATGGAAGTTAGGGGTATATATTTCAATGCGCGTGATTGAATTATCTTGATTTGCACTTCCACAAAAAGGTTTGTATGCTATTTCTAATTTAACACTAAAGATTGCAGAATAAAGAAATAAGACTAGGATAATTGTTTTTGAGGTTTTTCAAATTGATAAAAAGCCTAGTGCTGTGACCATTACCTAAGTGTTTGCCTAATGTGANAAGATGGGAGTTCGGAGTGTATATTTCAATGCGCGTGATTGAATTATCTTGATTTGCACTTCCACAAAAAGGTTTGTATGCTATTTCTAATTTAACACTAAAGATTGCAGAATAAAGAAATAAGACTAGGATAATTGTTTTTGAGGTTTTTCAAATTGATAAAAAGCCTAGTGCTGTGACCATTACCTAAGTGTTTGCCTAATGTGATAAAGACCTTAATGCTTATTTTATTGATCGGGGTGTATTATAGCTATCAACTCTTAATTACCCACTCAATACCTCTCGGTCAGAGAGTGATTTTGCCCAATTTGACTTTCTCAAGACCAAATGAGTATCACACAAAATAGTTAATAAAATCTCAAGTCGGGTTATTACTATATCTAGGTTGAACCCTTTAATTGGGTTAATCAATCTCTCGATTGACCCAATTCCTTGTTAGCCAAGTTTTCCTAGACTAAGTCTCTCTTTCTCAAGTAGAGACTAAGTCAAATAGGCATGAACTAAGTTTGC